GTGAAGATTGCTTGTGACACCAACAGTTTTTCCCTAGACAAACCTCGGGACATAACGGACAACAATTTTTATCCACACTGAAATCTTGGAAAGTTCCCTTTTGACAAAAACATTGAGTAAAAAGCCAAGCTACTTTTGTTATTTTCAACCATTTTGTGTAATGTCAGATGCCTGTGTATATCAATCATAGTGTTGTAACTGTTCAGATGCATCATATTTCCACAAATTCATGCAGTCTCACTACCAGTGTAGCCCCAACTCTACAATAAAACCCTAAGCGTCGAAAGCTCTTAATAAAATAGGTTTAATTCCCAGAAGAGATCAAGTCTCAATTTTCAATTATTGTTTTAGTGCTTCCTAACAAAGATACAAGGGTATCAGTTTCCATATGTACAGAATAAATTCATCACCATGTTATGTTTGTCATGGGATGCTATTTATTGTTGCCTCAAATAAAAGTCGAGCATTACTTTTAAAGAAATATGCGTTATCTTAGATGTTGATGAGATCAAAACAAAATATGTCAAAACAGTTGTCAAAGTTTAGAGTGATTTTGTAACTTATCATGACTCCATTTCCTCATGCAAAAACTTTGGCATAAAGAGGTAATGTGGCGTGGAAAGAGTTAAAGACACTTATTATCATCAGAAATTATAAAATAGGTAGTCATTTTTCTGTTGGTCTACCCTCTAAATCTCAACTGAAATCCCCGAAGAAAAGCATCACCAGGGTTGAGCTATTACATGTTCCCATATAACTCAGTTCTGTGAGTAAGTTGTTAATCAGAGGGCTACAAAAATAAATCTGGTATTTTTTTGGTCTTATTTGAACAACCCAATGTTTGACCATCCTCTCCTCTCCACACTGAGAAATGTATAGTCTTGTCCTCACCTAAACTAAATTACAAATTGTATAGTTTTAACACCCTTTGCACTGTAAAGTCATTTACAAGGTGGTACTTCCAAATCAGATAGGAGTGAGCCAAATGGGAAATCTCATGATTATCGATCTTGCAGCCTAACCTCTAGACCACCAGTGGCGATATCTTTAGCAAGGAGGTACCTTTTTTCACTGTACAGAGAAATCACTGACACATTATTACAAGCACAGCGGATTTGTCAATTCTTGTCTCCAATGCTCTCTACATACATATCTTGTTCCATACAAGACTACAATACAAAACAATTGAAAAAGCCCAAATCTGTTTAAAAAAATCCTTTTCGATTAGTTTTGATACAAATATATAAGTGCTTCAGAAGTAAAACTTTAATGTTTTGATATTCTGTTCTTCAACACCTGCTGCTTTATTGAAATTTATTTTAGACTCAGAACATAATAAATATTGGATAACCATTTCTTATCTGGTGCAGATGGCTTCTCGGTATCTTTTCTCTCTCTCTCTCCCTTTCTCTCTCTTTCTCTGAAACCCTCTTAACTACTTGCGCCTTCATTCTGATATCTGTTTTTAAACTACATCAGAACTGTAAGACAGATTCTGAGTACTTGTCGGAACATCTTGCCTACTACCTGAGATCACTCTCAGACTAAGGCAATATGCATGACATAGACCAAAAACAAATGTCTAAGTAGTAAAGTTTTACACCAACACCGCGTGGGTCACTTCCCCAAAGATAATTACACAACTGCCAAACCACATTCACTCGGACATTCCATTGAGGCTCACACAAACAAACAAACTTTTAAAGCTGTCATTTTTAAATATTCAATTAACTGAAATTAACCTTATGAAGTTTGGCAGAAAAAAAAAAAAATCAAATCACATCTTAAAACAAGTTTAAAAAAAATTAAACGCACATCTTCACAGACCGTTCACGCATTATTCTTTCAAAGATATTTAGTAAAATGCCTTTATGCATCATTTAAAAAATGTGGCATTTCTTAAATGTAGACGTCCCTCTTATACTTCTATTTCATTTCGCATAACTATGTTTATGTTCAAAAGCTTTGTTACCATTAAAGAAATACCCTGATTTTATTGGCATACAACAATCAACATGCACAAACTACTCTCTTTTCCTTGGACCTTGCTAGAAACTCAAACGCATGTTTGTCTTAAAGAAACTAATTAACACAGAATCCTTAAAATGGAATATACCAAAATTTTGAAAATGTACCTTTAGAACCATGATCCTGTCAAGGAGGTCTGATTTTGCTAAATTAGTTATTTTTAACACAAAAAAAGGATGTTTAAAAAAAAAGGAAAGATCACTTCTACTATAACTGGTCATTTCCTACCCAGAATAGATCAATGATTTTTAGAAGGATGCAACTTTTTCAAACAAAAATAACAGTCAGCAAATGCATGATACATTAAGAACATACAAGAGAACTGCATAAAGTGTTAAACATATCAATCAACAGATAAGCGCCATCGATCCAGCCATTCACAGAGGAGCATGCCATGGTTGCTAGGTAACCGGCCACGTACACAGTCCCTTCCATCTTCAACTCAGTGGTAGTGATAATAATTGGAGCCATCGTCATAAATATAGCCTGTGCTATTGTATGCTGAAACAAAAGAGAAAAAAAGAATTTGGTTTAGTAACCTTTACAATTAGTTAGTTCTTTAAATTAAAAAGCAGACACCTAGTTTAAAAAGCAGAAAAAAACAAAACTTTCATTTGAACAAGAGGAAGACTAATACTTGTCTAATTTTTACAACGTCTATAGATTCATTTACATACTTTTCAAGATCCTGAGTCTATCTTATAATTCAACTGATCAGCTTTTGCTGTTATTTTCTTTGAAACTAAACGATGGCTCCAGTGAAGACATGCATTTAGACTACTTAATATGTAGGGAGAGACAGCCGTAAGGCACTCTGTGAATGGCTGGATGCAATCACGTGATATTTATCGCTTTCGTTGAAAAATGTACTGGAAAAAAATAGAAAAGAAAAAACAGTGAAAAATAGCCAAGCCAGGAGTAAATAATTACAGAATGTTCAGCTAACAAATGAGACGGTGTCATGTGCAAACTATAACTAGATAATGCTTTTGCTTTCTAAAGCTACTGAGGATAGCAATATAGTTGGGTCTGTGGAGCAAACAAGCAATTATCAAAAGCTCGAAGCACTTTTGGTTTATGGAAAGAATTGAACTTATGCTTTGCCAAGACATTATGTCAGAAAATTTAGTTTGTAAAGGCACTTGTCCTTCTGATAAGCTGGCTTGTGACCATAAAGCATTAGCATGCAGTCGTCAAGATTAAAAAAACCCACCCATAACAAACTAAAACAGTTTATTTTAAATTGCTAGCATTCGTAGATACATACAAATATGAAAATCAGATATGAAGGATTCAAAAGAAGAACCCACAATCCTCCTTCTCCCAGCCTCGAGATTGTTCGACATTGTAAATAAAGCAAAGTCTGACAATTCTGTCTTTCATTAATCGTATTTCGAGAAAATGTAAAACAATAAAGCCCAGCTCATTTTCCACTCAGCCATGTTATGATATACCTATACCTTGAGCATGACATTTCAAATATAAAGTCAACAAAGTCTTATCCGCTGAGCCTTTCATCTAATTATATCTTTTCTAGTTAAGGTCGTGAGCCGAAAAAAAAAGTGAAAAGTGATTTCAGTTTGTTGAAAATCAAGTGCCGAGGGTGAGAAAAGGAAAACAATCACAAGCGGGAAAAAAATGAGTTGTCAAGTTAAAAACACGTATGTAGCTGTGAAAGATCCCCTGCCAGAAGGTTCCTTTGACTTCTAAATTTACTGGCTAGTACACTTCAATTTTATTGTCGCACAGCCAAAGTGAATGGAAAGTACTGCAACCTGTTAGGTGCATGCTGCCATCTTTCACGCAATGTAGCTACTAATGGCCAAATACCATTTTGTAGCTGTAAGAAAATGTAGTAAATTACATTTCCTAAGGATACAACATCCTATCTGGTGGAGCAAGGAAAAAAACTCACAATTTTTCCTTGCAATTTAGAAGTCTTACCCCTTGACTGGGGAGCCCACAGTTGACAATATTTTTAAAGTCTTAACGTTTTTCAGTTAAAACGGAAAAAATTAGTGATAATAACTAATTCTGAAATACCAGCAGTTGTAAAACGTATGGAGCATGCTGTAAAGCATGGATATATGTGCTATATGTATAAGTAATTATCGTTGTCATTGTCATTATGAAATGGAATGACATCATAAGGGAAAGATGAAAATCACACAACACACGGAATATAGAATCTTGCACCAAGTCAGTTAAGGTGCCGGGCAAGAAGCAGCTGGGAAAGGTGGGAGGGAGGTGAGGGGGAACATCAGAAGCAATATATATGATACAGAGCATTTACTGGGAGACACACACTACATGTCTACCTTGGAGCCTTTGAGAACAAGAATTTTTAAACTTTACTATTCATTTTGGACTTTCCAAAGCCAAAATGTTATTTTCTTAAGACTATGCTTTTGTTTTATTTTGAAATTTTGAAGGATATTGACATAATGAAGCAAGGATAAAAGGGTTCCTAATACCTTATGTTTAATCTGGTATCCCCTCGTGAAGTTGACCATCACCACCACCATCATAATTTTAACATCAGTACCCCTCTCATCATCACAAGCATCTTAGTAACCATCAATATAGTCTCTATGACCATCAATTATCATCTCATAATCAGCAACATTATCATTTCTTGGAATCCCTCTATTACAGAAACTATCATCATCATCATCATCATCATCATCATCATCATCATCATCATCATCATCATCATTGTTTGGTACGCAGGGTTGGAGGGAGAGTCTTGTTTTAATTTTAGACAAAAATAAAATAACAATATAAAATGTTTAAATTTGTTTAATAGCTCAACGTTTCGCCCCATGGGCTTCCTCAGGAGCAACTCATCATCATCATCATCATCATCATCATCACCATCACCATCACCATCATCATCATCATCATCATCATCATCATCATCATCATTTGTCCAATAAAATACACATAAGCAAAAATACAAAAGGAATACTTACAGCGTCCGAAGCCTTGGTTGCTAAAACCACCCCCCCTGCTGATAACAAGAAAAGAGAGAGAGGGGGAAAAAGATGTATACATCATCATTGCAGGCATAGTTTGGGCAAATGTGAACAAATTACAAACAATGAAAAACTTGAGACTGCAAAAAAAAGGAACCAAACACAGTTTTCCCTACAGAAGAGGATTCAAAAGAAGTTTTTTTGCGTCACTTAGTAAAAAAAGAACAATATGAGGGAAAAAGGAGTCGCTTTCAATACATTGACATTTTAAGATTTTTAGCTCAAAATGTTTTAATTAGAGTAACAGTAATTATAACAACAATATTCCGTTTAATAGTTACGTTTAAATTTAAAAGGATGTATAATGTTTTAGGAGAAGATATTTTAGTACTGGACAAGATTTTTCCAATATTTGAAAGTATGATAAAATGTTAACATTTTTTTCATTTGGCAAACGTTGTGTTTTGCTTAAAACTTTTCTTATATACTATATCAAGTTGCTTGTAGTACACAAAATAAAATACAAATTCTGACCCTCATAATTCCCAACCTAGTCAATAAATTCTTATTTCTTGCAACTACCCAATTTCCTTAGTCTGTACAAAAACAACCTGCAAGATCCTAGACTTCCTCATGGTAACAAAATAGAGAGAAACTCAAAATATTTTCAAAAAATATTCCAGTTGTAAGAGGAAAGGTATGATTTAAACCAGGCCATATCAAACAAATCTCAGCCAGCAAGCAAGGCTTTTTGAGACATTTCAAGAAGGAAAGGCATTTTGTTAAAGGAACACCTCAAAACATTGCAAAAAATCTTTGCCGACATCTGTTCTAGGGTCAACTAAACAATGCAATTTAGGAAATTTTCAAATGAAACAAATAAATAGATTTTTTTTAAAACGTCACTTCTTTTCATTTATCTATCAGCCCTTCCAGTCAGAAAATAAATGCTATGAAACAAGAATACTTAACTAAAATTTTGTATTCTGAGTAAATACGAGAGCCCAGTGTTCAAGATTACCAAGACAATCTTGGGATCCTTCTAGTTTTAACTCTTTATTTCCACAAGCTACTCCCATCATCTTGTGGCTGAAACTTTTGAGCCTGTGAGCCGCTGGTGGACACATTCCTTTAAGTTGACCTTCAATATATTCATTTTTGGACTGAAATTTTTCCATTAGATGAAAAACTATCAAAATAGGTTCATTTGTTTTGATTTAACGACAAGTCTAGTGACGTATAAGTCAATTTTAGGTTTCATACCAAAAGAGGGCCATGCGTTGTTAGGAAACCCCCTCCGGAGTTAAAGAGTTAAGAGACAGAAGACAAGGCAGCCTCTGTCAGAGTTTATATACTTACTAGTCCATGGGTGGCATCCCGTAGGGCTGGCTCTGAATGTGGTGGTGGTAGACAGAAGGGGCTGGTCGTGCCTGAGGGAGATGGAGAGATGGTTGGTGATGGGGAGGGAAGGAGTGAGAGAGAGAGAAAGAGAGAGAGAGAGAGAGAAAGAAAGAGAGAGTGAGAGGGAGAGAGAGAGACAGAGAGAGAGAGAGAGAGAGAAAGAGAGAGAGAGACAGAGAGAGAGAGAGAGGGGAGAGAGAGAGAGAGAGCTAGAGAGAGAGAGAGAGGAGAGAGAGAGAGAGAGAGAGAGAGAGAGAGACAGAATGGGCATTATAAAATGAATATAGTTTCTTTGACCAAAAATTAGATTGAATACAAAACTCAAGCTCAAGAAATGGGGGAAAAACCAAAACAAACCTTGAGGTATATAATGCAACATTGACAGTAAACTCTTATGTCACTATAGAAGGCGGCTTGTCAGATAAGGACAGCTTTCTACCTTAAAACTGACATATTCTCTAAACGTTTAGTTCAACACTTCTGTCAAATTAACTGATCACAAGTTATATACTGTTACATGAGTCCCCTTTAAATGAACACTATGAATAATCTGAAGACACCGGAAAACCAAAAGAAAAAAATGTCCCCTACTTTATTTTTTTTACTATTTAAGCATGAACTCTTAACCAAAAACATGGCAAGACTGAATAAAATCCGGCAGTACCGCAGATTTTGATATAAGCAGACTCCAATGTAGGCCTAGTTGAGGAATTTCAGCACAGAAAGAAGAAATGAAGGGAAGCTCGTCTCACTGAAGATTGAATTCACTTACATTGAAAACAGTGGGAAAGCTGGATTTTCTTCGGTTTTGCCACGTTTTCGGTTTAGAGAGGTTGCTCAAACAGAAGGAAAAAACAAAACAAAAAGGGATTTTACTTTCTTTAGGTTTTCTTGGTTTAAACATGCTCCACTGCATGCCATGCAGGCCTACTTTACAAATTAAAAGTAAAATAAAAGGGAATGTTAAAAGGGGGAGCACATTTCAGAATCTCACATAATAGTAATGTAATCCCCCCCTTCTCCACCGCTCACATGCACACACCACCCTATGACTTATATTCTCAGCACCCCAAATGGGGCATAACTTAAAAGATTTGAGACTGGAGGTCTATATTCTAATATATACCATGGGAACGGGGACCATGGGCTCAGCCATGGGGTAAGTGGCGGGCCGCGATCCGCCTGGAAGCTGATGCAGCATCATCTGCTGCATGACCATGTGGTGCATCTGGGCATTCTGCAGCATCATCATGTCCATGAAATCTGCAAAGACACACAGAGATAAACATTCTCCATGAATAGAAGTGTGTGTGAGCAAGTTTTTTTGTGTGGGAGAGGGAGCATGAAGGAGAGACAGAAGGATAAAGGTTGAGGGAGAGTGAATATGTGTGTGTGTGTGTGTGTGTGTGAGAGAGAGAGAGAGAGAGAGAGAGAGAGACAGAGAGACAGAGAGAGAGAGAGACAGAGAGAGAGAGACAGAGAGAGACAGAGAAAGGATCACACGTGAACTATATGGTGTTCGTGCATTAAGCACACTGATCACTCTACTTAAAGTAGAAATGCGTAATATAAGTGAAACTTATTATCATAGGCCTATTTATTGTTATCTAAAGTGTTTAATTATAAACATTTTAAGAAGGCATCGAGCAGTAGGACAAAAGTTATCAACAACTGCACACCATTGAGTCTTGAGGGAGCAAAAGAAGCATAATATGAGGCCAGCCTAACCTATACTTTGACCGTCCTTCAATGTATAATTATATATCCAGTCGAACCTGCACCTGTATAAGACAATCACTGTAACAATAACCAAACGCCAGTTTCCCCCCTTGCGATTTTTTTTGGGGTACATTATAATGACACTAGAATCTAAATGTAAAACGGCCACCTGTCTAAAACCGCCACTTTTCTCTGCGACAATGAGTGGTTGTTTAGACAATTTTGCCTCATCTGTAGGGCCTACATTATGGAGTTATTTACATTCAAAGGACCAATTTTAATAAGCCTCTAATAAAATAATGGGTAAGAAGACTTTTTTCAAATGAAGGCTTTCTTAAAAAAAATAAAATAAGGAAAACAACTTTGATGTGTCTGTTCTCAATTCACGGCAGATAAAACGGATCTTCGAGGAAACCGAAGATGGACTGCCAATTAATCTGTCATCATTTTACATTTTTCTTTTTGTTTCAAATCTGAAAGCATTTTTAAGTGCTTTACATTGGACAAAGGTGTTTAAGAAATTATCTATAGTGCGGTCAATAATTCGTGGTTCAACTTATTGTCAAACATCTCCTCAACTATCGAAGATATAACTCTCCAGCTTTTGCACAGTGACTTGTATCAATTTGTCTTAACTGATCACTATTTTTGTAAATACTTGTCGCTCTATTTTAGAAAATTCCTTAATAAATAAGCCTACAAATAAAACATCCCGGGGATGGTTTCTTCTGATTTTAAAAGGTTTACAGCTGGGACAAAATTGCTTTAAAAAGTCTGTCACTTTTTTCTAATCGCGTGCTTTAAGAACTTTTAGTGCAAAAAAAGTGTCCACTATAAAAATCAATTTCTTGTTACTAGTTTTGCCATTTTAAAAAAGGGTCATAGATGAGCTGTGATGTACGCCTTATATGCGTGTATGCAAAATGTGAGTGAGAAGCGGGAAGTGCTGTGAACAATTCCAATTCCGCATGAAGATTTGTAGTATTTTAAAAATATATCTTAATGGAGAGACTTTTTAAAATCTACATCTAGCCTCAATTGTTGTGGGAAAATATGATTAAGTAAAGACAAATTAAATTGATACGAACTGCTGAACGAGGTATGGAGACAATGATTCACCCGTGAAAAATATATAAGAATAAGTTGCACCACAAATTTTTGACCGCATTATACCCTTTGACAATTGTTTCCGGAAAAGAAAAAAAATTTAAGTTAGAAAAATAATGTCCTTTATGCAACCTTGATGTTATAAATATATTATGTCCCTCAACAAATTGGAGAATCGAGGACGTTATACCCTCTTGTGGACCGATACATTAATTGTGTCTTTCATCATAATTAGGCCACTATGCTTATAATCATAGAGCCCATTGAACAGAATTGTGCAACAAATTAGAACTAATTCTAGTTCTAGATCTAGATCTTGGCCTAAATAGTCGCGTTTGTTTGCGGCTCGAAAATCGTGCTTGAAAGATAACCGACAAGCGATTATCAGAGATGGTGAAGTGCAGGCCTGGCCTACAATATTTGGCGGGATCAAGTCAACGTCTTCTTAGCGCGCGTGGTCAAAAAAGTTATTTGCAATTTTGCCAGCAAAAAAAAAAAAAAAAAAAAATCCAAACAAAGGCTTTAAAGTCAGAAATAAACTGAAAGTGCAACAATATTTGAAAAATAAATTTCGCTTGATAGTACATAGATCTAGTACTAATTATACGGCTTGTTTTCCTGCAAATTCAACGCATTTATCGCGGGGCATATGATCGGACGATACTCGATTGATCATGTATCGCGACTGTAAAAATCAACAATTGTCGATTATCAAAAAATTAATGTTGCAAGTTTTATATCGAGGCTTCTTGCACCCTTTGCCTTTTGCTCGTTTTTAAAGTTTCGAAGATGAAAAAAAAAACCGACGAAGAAAAACCACTGAATGAAGAGAGGTAGATGTGTCAACAACTGAATTATTATTTTTTTCTCTCCCACAAAGTAGCGTTAGTTTTTCAATCGATCATATCAAAAGGTTCGAGTAAATGCATCTAGTCGATTTGACGTTTTGAATATTCCAGAAGAGTTCTCCCCCGAGAAAAAAAAATCGATTTCGTTGGTTATTCACTGAGATCGCATGAACAAAACATTATTCTAGGCCCCATTGAGGAGAGCGAGAAATCGAGAGTGTCTGTGCTCGGGGTAGCCTATTGACATACGGAATAGCACTCCAATTCAGGTTCTGTTTGGGTTACGTTCGGTTGCTGTGAACAAAAGAGTCACACAGCGCGGCGGGGCCCCGACGCGTTACGTCCGCCCTCCTCCCTGACAGAACCCCACGTACAGTACAGTGTATGGCGTTCTTCGGTGACCTACAAACAACGCGGTTGGTGAAAACGACATGACAAGCTCTGCAGTCTGTAGGAGATAAAAGTTGAATTTGCCAGACCTAAGCTGGGCCTGACATACTAGTGTATGTGTGTGTGAGTGTAGAATAACTTGTGGTTTGTTTGCCAAGTGACGACTCGAACGGATTTATTTATTCGAACGACTATTCTTCGTTTGATCGTGCTGAGCCCAACTGGTCGTGGCTGCAGTGGAAAGTCGAAGAATGTCGTCGACGCCGAAGCGATTTTATAAACAGCAAAATGCGCCTCGTTTCAGAAGTGGAGTTTGGCATTTCATGAGGAAAGATGACCACAAAAACGCTACTTGCCTCATCTGCAATTCTAAATTCAAGTTTCATGGGTCCACAACGTCGCTTCGATCACACCTCAGGGCGAAACACCCAGAGCACGATTTTTCTGGGGAATACGACCAGGAAGAAGCACAGGCGGCATCCAGGTTAGTAAACCTTTTGCAACCAGTAAAGGCTCCAGAACCCTCTCCAAGTCCTAGTGAGGTGAAGCCAGAAAGCAACCGTGTGAAGAGTGGAGTCTGGAAACTTATGACCAAGGATAGCCCCTATATAGCCACATGTATTGTCTGCAATGCAAAATTCAAGTTTCACGGGTCAACGTCTTCACTGTGGGCTCATCTCAAAGCGAAACATCCTGTGGAACTCGACAACTCCGCAACAGAAGACCCAAATGAATCACAGTTGTTGCAGTTTTCAGCTGCTCAGAACCACCCCACTGAATCCTCTGTAAGTGGCAGTGCTAGTGTGACTGTGAGTGTGAAAAAGTCAGAGACTTCTGAGAAAATATCTTTTCACCGAGAACCCACTACAAAAAAGAAGCAGCTTGAGCGAGTGCTGGTGGAGATGATTGTGAGAGACCTGCAGCCCTTAAGCATCGTGGAAGAAGGTGGCTTTCAAAAGCTGATCCACACTCTTGATCCGAAGTACACTCTTCCCAGCCCTAAACAGCTGGCAACCACCATCTTGCCAAACCTTCAGAAAGAAGAAATCAGGAAACTGAAAGCAGAGCTTGGAGATATTGCAAACGTCACAGTAACTACTGAGATCTGGACTTCAGTTGTCACAGACAGCTTTCTCACAGTGTCAGTGCATTATCTGAACTCGCAGTGGCAGAGGAAGTATGCTGTCCTGGAGACCTGTAAGCTCGTAGATGACCTCACGCCTGCAAACATCGCCGAGGAACTGTCAAGAGTCTTCACAGCATGGGACCTCCACCCCAAGGTCACATGTGTGGTGACTGACAACAGTGAGAACATGGCGGCAGCAATGCGAATGCTAAGGTTGCCGCATGTTACCTGCTACGCACACACAATGGATGGGATAGTACGAGACTCTTTACGAAATGTGCAAGAAGTTACGAGATTGGCTAAGAAAGTGCGAGACATCGTTTCCTTCTTTCACCACAGTGAAATGGATTCTGAAAAACTCATGCATCTGCAGAGGGAACAAGAGCGCCAACCCCAGAAGCTCAAGCGTGATGTACCCTCCCAATGGGTTTCCACTTTCTACATGCTGGAACGGTTTATCCATCTTTATGGCTTCATTGCTGGTGCTCTATACCAGGTGGGCAGAGCTGAACTGTTGCTGTCTGATGATGAGCTGGAAGTTGTCAAACATTGTGTGAAGGTTCTTGAGCCCTTCGAAGTGGCAGTTAAGGAAATGACGTCCGAAAAACATATGCCAATGTGTAAAGTGATCCCGATGACAAAAGCCATTTCACAGTTTGTGTCTCGTAACACCCAAAACTCTGGCGGTGACATATCTGGGTTGGCCACTGAACTGGAACTTCAAATGTCACGACATTTTGACAACATGGAAGACAACTTCCTGTATGGCGCTTCAACACTGTTAGACCCCCGCTTCAAGAAGCTGCCCTTCTCAACGTCAGAAGCTGTCGGCAACACTGAGCAGCAGCTGGGGGAGGAAATCTTGATCCAAACTGAACCTGCGGCGGTGCTGAAACCTGAAACAGAGGCTATGGATGACTCAAAATCTCTGTGGTCCTCTTTTGACCAACAGGTGGAATTCACCCTATCAGCACTGTCCAACCCACAGGAGTCTACTGTGGAGTTTAATCGATATTACGAGGAAATGCTCTTGCAGCGTCAGGAAAACCCGTTTCGATGGTGGGAAAAAATGAGCAAGTTCCTCACCAGACTATCCCCTATAGCCATGAAATACCTGGCAATTCCAGCTGCCTCAATTCCGGCAGAGAGACTGTTTTTGAAAAATCAAGAAGTGATTTCCCTGCGAAGATCCATTCTGAAACACTCTGTTGTTGATACTGTCTTGTTTCTGAACAATAGATTTTCAGTTTGATTATATTAATAATTAAGAAGAGCAGTGTCTCGCCTTAATGTCATGGTTTATTTTCAGTAAAATACATACAGATTAATTTTTTAAATGATAGATGATATTCAGTTGAGGAAGATGATGTCAAGCATTATTATTTCGTAAGTCTTCTTGTAACAAGTGCATTTGCCTTGAAAAGCTTGTCTTTCCCATTCTGGCTTTGAGTTTGAGCTCATTCATCATGTTTGTTGTTGCCTTTTTTCAAGGAAGAACAGTGTAAAGTTTTATCGCTACACTTTTGTTGTACATTACATTACAAACACAGTCTAGCACGCACATAGTCACACAAAGAAGCAAAGAGACTTTCACGTCCCAGTTTTTAAATTTTACCCATACATTCTTTAAATTTTTGAAAAATGTAACTTCGCTATTCGTACCTCTATAATAATATGAAAAAATTGACTGCGTGTCCTGCTGATATTGCTGTGTGCATGCTAGACAAGATCCAGAGATACATGTTACAATTGTAAAACTCACATTTTTGTTAACCCTATCCGTACACCCTGGGGTCATTTTGTACACTCGGGGTTGTATTCTTCACATTTTAGAATACTTCTAGATCTCTAGTATGAAGATCTCTTTGATCTTTCAGTATTTCTCAAAAAATCATTTTGACTGACTACTATATATGCAAAGCGTATGGATCGGATTACATTAAGTAAATTTCCTCTTTGAAAGTGGTGGCACAGTCAGTTCCCCACATCGTATGGATACGATAGTAAATCACGACGTACGGATAGGGTACCATAACAGTTTCCCTTTGAAGTTGAAGTCAGTTTTTAGACGGATTTTTATATTGAATAATAGTAATTACTTGTGTGTTATACGATGTACTGAATACCCCCCCCCCCCTCAGTTTTATTGAGTGGAGAAGAAGATCACCATCTAAAAATTTGATATCACAAAAAAATGTGTTTTTGAATGGATTAATGAAATTTACTAGTCTATTGCGGTAGGCCTACATGATGTATCATTTGAAATTTCAAAAGTCAGCTTCTTGTATGGCTTTCTTGCTTTGCTTTTGGTCGGCAATGTTTTGGAAGTTACTCGTCCTCATCATTTTCAAATTTCTCATCATGGTAGGCCTACATGTAGGCATTGTTGATTTTGGTCAGGATGTAGCCTCTTGTTGTGTGGACAATTATTTTTCTAATTGATGCAAATTCATGATACAAATAAAATTTATATTCAGGGTTTGAATGAGCAGAGATTGAGAGAGAGTTGAGAGTGGCCATTGATCTCTCTCTCTCTCTCTCTCTCTCTCTTCTGGCGCTATTTTGTCAAAAGGGTCCGTTCAAATATAATCTTACGCCTGGGAGGGGGGGGGGGGGGGTGTCTTTGGCTCCTGTAAGAAAAGTGTGTAAGAAGGGGGGGGGGGAATCTTGAACTAATGTAACATATTACACTTTTTTGAGGTGAAAAAATATTTTTTACATAATGATGAACTCTGCATTTGTAATTGTTGATAACTAATTTCACTTTTTTTTCAGCATGATCAGTAATAAGAGAGATACAGTGGAATCCTGATAAAGTCAACTCTTGCTTACAGTCAACACCTTGCTGTAGTCCCGTTTCTTACCTTGTTTGGTAAAGTAATTGTGTTTCTGATACAGTCAACCATTTGAGTGTTAACCTTGCGTAAAGTCAACATTTTGGGGCTAACTAAATCCTAAGAGGAATTCCATTCAAGAAGAGATATTTCGCCTGCGCAAGTGGTGTACACACCTCCAATTACATACTTTGTTCTTTCATTATCTCTTGTTTTGGTGGCAATTTCAGAATTATACTCTCTGAAATTGAGATTACATCTTGTTTATTACCAGGTACTTTGTAATTTTGTAGCTGTCATCTTCAATTTCCAATGGCCAGTACATGTAGTACAATGGATAAAGTCAACCTTGCTCAAAGTCAACACTTTTTTTCTGTCCGGGGTGTTGACTTTATCAGAATTCCACTGTAACTTAAAAAAAAAAAAATTAAAGCGCTTTTGTCATAGATGAGTCTCAATTTTTTCCTTTTTATTAGTAAGAAAGAGTGTGTATGCAATATTTTCCTTGAATGATTTACTCTAATTGTGAGGCAGCGTGGTGAAATCAGGCGCTCGTCAAAATAATGAAAGTGAAAAAAACTGGCATTTTTCCGCAGGTTTGGGAACTTTTATTGAATTTATTTTTCACGCGAAACACCTTTTATGTCCATACTGAAAAACGTTCATTACATGCACAAAATTTGTGATTTTTCAGTTTTAAAGGCTCTGAAGCTATTGAAGTTATCGAGCTTTGGCGGCCGTTTTCTCACTTAATTTACCTCAGAAATCAGGTGACCCCACCTCTTTCAATCACAAATATTTCGACTTCTATTCAGCATAGATGAATATTGTTTTCATCAAAAGGAAGGCAAATGGACAGGCTTTAATTAGATGATATCAATAACTCTGTATGCCTCAAAATCAAAACTAACGAGCGCTTGATCCCACCATGTCGTGACACTTATTATTTTTTAGTGCATATATACATGTATTATGTGCATGTATGTGTGTGTATATGCAATGCATGTTTTTCATGAATATTATGCAATGCACATAGAGCAATGATTGTTTTACGGATTTGCGAGATATAACTCACGCCTGCAAACATCGCCGAGGAACTGTCAAGAGTCTTCACAGCATGGGACCTCCACCCCAAGGTCACATGTGTGGTGACTGACAACAGTGAGAACATGGCGGCAGCAATGCGAATGCTAAGGTTGC